TTCATTTGATCTAAAAATCATATTTTTATACTAAAAAGTCAATCTTGGTACTATTCATTTTACCCTTTATTTTGTCCTTATCGTTAAAACTCAAAGTTTTCAAATCATTTTCATTAGTTTTCCTATTAAAAAATCCCTAATTTTCAGTCAAAAAAACCATCAAAGCATGAGAGATATTTTAGTATATTCAGAATATTACGTGGTACATCACGTATCATAATATAAATAGAGAGATAATAAAAGTATACCTTCAAATGAGATATATCAACCCTATTATCTATTTATATTATAGCACATGCTATACCACTTTGTGTTTCGGATGTACTGAAATCTCTCCAAATAATTTGGTATTTCCACATCTTCCAATGCTTCTCTTTTCTGGTTGATATGCATGCATTTTTCACGTGTCTTGAGTTTCAGTGTTTTTTTGTGTCATCTTTGTTTCAGTTGTTTTATATTTGTTTATCTTAATTAGATTCGCGTTCATTGATAAACATTGGAACAATATTAAAATATTTGTATCGATCTTGTGTCATCACTTTGGCCACCATTAAAACTCTTTCACCCAGGAATGAAGAAAGTTGGGAATTTATCATAAAATTCATTGGTAATATTTAATCTACTTATAAGTTCATGTAAGGTCGCTCCTCCTATTAATGTGAGATTCATTCTTAACACGTCTCCTCATATATAGCAAATTTTCAAACCTAACACATGAACAATACAATAGAGTGATATGGAGCATATGTGGCCGTTTGGCTTCACATGGGGGATAACTTGTTCTGATACCATGAAGAAGTCAAGGTCCACCACAAAATTAATTGGCAATATGATCCATACAATGTCCTTCCTCCCATCATTATGTGGTCACATATTTTTTACCTCACCTCCTAATACAACCCTAATAGTAGACCCCACAGTTTCTGACACGACACGGTGACACGATACAAAAAATAACAGGTTTTGGGTCAACACGATAACTTATCGGGTGATCCATTAAGAACCTGTTATACACGTGGGTAACCCGTTTCGACCCGTTAAGAAAAAAATTATTTTGATAATTTTAAAGTTTAATTACTAAAATATTTATTATAAAATACAATAGTCATATTAATATATACAATATATTCTATATTAAATATATAGTTTTGTATTATTATTCTATATAAGTTTTAAAAAAAAGTTTTAGTCATTATCTATTTTTATTATGAGAGTTCCTTATTATCATTACTAGGATAAATTTTACTTAACTTGTTATTATCCAAAATTAAAATAAACTAATATAGTATTTGTATAGGCAACAACTAAGAAGACATACATACAAGTATGAAAAATGTGAAAGAATATATAATGTCACGCCTCGGATCTGGGTCGGTAAAAAAAATAACCCCGCACCCAGCGCGCAAGTAAAAGTAAAATAAATAAAAGGAAATTGACACGGGTTGAAAAATGAACTCCTCTTATTAAAATAACTCAAAAACCTTACATGGTGTACAAAAATAATAAATTAAAATCCTTAAACTTCTCCTCAATCACAACCTCAGCTCTTCCAACACCCGTCTTGCCAAATAACTCATCTGTAAAATAATAGGTGAGGGGTGAGCAACAACCATCGTCGCTCAGTGAGTAGAATATATAATATGTCAGTCAAGCAATGCCATTTTAATCACAATATAAAATAGGATAATAATATCAAAACTTTAACCACATAATTTCATATCACATCATCCCTTTACGTGTTCATTACATCCTTCATAAATTGTAACTCACCACGTGACCCCTACTGGCATTTCCGCCCTAATGTCCCCGTGTGCAGTTTACATTTATCCCTCGAATTAATGCAACACTAAAGTTCTCATGCTCCATGAACATGTCCAAATAATCCACATATCACCATATTAATAATTCGAAAAGCATTTCAACAAATCCAACATGTTTGACTTAAAATAGATAGAGATTTATAAATAGATAAAACCCACAATAGTTCGTGGTTTTCATTTATCAGAAAATAAGAATATTTTAAAACACATTACATAAACCACTCACCTCGATAATCCAAGCTTTGGCAAGACAACCCAACTAACATCTCCGCACACCTCAAACTAGCTTTCCCCTTTTCTTTTCTTTCTAAGCTCTCAGTGTAACGTATATATAAGTATGTATGTATGTATATATATACCCCAATCTCTACGTAATGCATGCATTGCATGCTTCTGTGGTTTCAAAAGAATGGAGCTTTTGCTCCTACTTATAGGGGATTGAAGTCGGCTATAATTAATGTTAAATGCATGACTAAGCCTTTCAATGAAGTGGTGGCAGTAGAATGTAAGAAATCATCTAGGATATTGACAGCTACATGCAAGACGTGTTCCACTTAAGTTGGAGGTGTCATGAACATGGGTTACCAAGTATAAGAGTCATCAAATTGTAGGTGCAGGTGTCAAATGCAGGGATTAAGCATGCAACACGTATAAGTTAATAGTTGTATACGAACATCACAATAGAGTGCACAATAAGCACTCGTAGTGATTGCTAAAGTGATGAGAATGATGAAATGGAAGGTGGTGCTGTCAGTTTGCATGAAGTGAGAAGAGCAGGTGTTGCATTCGTAGGAATGCTTGAGGTAGATTGACAAGTGGTATAGTAAAAATGAATGGGTGGATCAAGTGAGTCTAATGAGTCAAAATAAAAATAACACATGTAACAAAAACCCACAAATATACTATTACTTAAAAATAAGAATTATAGTAAATATACATTTTTTTTAAATACGGATTTTCAGATCGTGATTCATCATTATTCCTCTATGAGTAGATAATGGTTACATTTACATTATAGTTTAGATTTTTAAAATCCTCCGAACCTTCATGAATAATGTTTTTTATTTGAGGGCAAAATTAATAAAATTAATAATAATTATTGTAGAAGTGTAAAAAAGTGTAAAAAAAATAATATACAATCACTCATAGTGACAAATTTTACAACTTTCATGAAAGGATCAGCTTCGAAATCCAACACTATAATTCATAAACCTTAAATTTATATTTAACCATCGATTGTCATTTACGCTTTATTCTTCTTATTGAATTTCATTTTTAAAATTTTCTTTTTTGAAAACATGATCATCTGGCGGATGTAAAAAGATGAGGTTCAGATCTTTGATATCACGTTTCGATATTTACAGCTAACTGAAATATGAGTCGATGTCATATAGTTTGTATAAACTTTATAAACATCAAGCAATATTTTCACTAACTGTAAAACTCTGAATATAATATCAACGATCCAAACCGTTCATCTTCCTGCATCCTCTAATAGATCAAGTTTTCAAAAAAGAAAATCTGAAAAAACAAAATTTGATGAGAATAATGAAGCGTAAATGTAAACAACAATCAACGATTAAATTTTGATCTATGATTTATATGATTATAGTGACAAATTTCGAAGTTAAGCTCTTTATGAAAGTTGTAAAGCTTATCATTACAAGCGTTTATATATTTTTTCTATATTTTTTTACAATTCTACATTAATTAAAAAACTTAGGTAAGTGAAAATATACTTAAAAGAAAATTGCATTTTTATGTTTTGAATGTGACAATATGGTATGTATATACTTAGTTAGTATTATGTTTTTCATTTAATTATTTATTGGTTTAAAATATATTTTCCTTAATAGGTAACAGGTCTGGTCATATTACCTGTTAATATTATCGGGTCGATTTCGGATCGGGTCATTTTACCCGTTTATTTTAACGGGTGTTACATGACACGACCTGTTAAGATATCAGGTATGACACGAAAACGATACGAACACGGAAAACACGACACGAATGCTAGATCTACCTAATAGCCATTTCCACATAGTGTGGGACAAATTGAGTAGGGATGTAATTTTGCACATTTTTTAATTAGTTCTTTGATTATCCTTTAACTTGTTCAATTCAAAACTAAAAAAATGTACATAATAAGTTAAAAAAGAATATAAATTATTTCTCATTACCTGCTTTTAATCTGATGTGCTACTATAAACCGTTCCAAGGTAATTCTCAAGTTTATGTGTTTAAGTATGATCGTATATTTATGTGTATATATATAGGAGACCACACTTTAGTAAATCACATTATACATACTACCTCTCTAACAGAAGTAAGACCTTGTTTTATGGACGTGATTAACACTTGCTATCACCACATAAAACTAGGGCTAATGCACTTCAGTAGTTGGAAAGTACAAATTTTCCACCCACGGATTATTGTCTTCATTATTCTCCCAGAAAACATTAAGATGGAGTTTAAGCATTTGAAACTACGGATAAGGAAGGAATTAGGATATAAATAGAGATTAGCAGAGAGGAGTGCCTCATACAGTTTTATCATCTTGCTATCATCAAATTAAGCAAGTCCTAAACCAAACGAAACAACTAAGTTGGGGGCAACCTAATTAAGCCAAGTGCGATGAAAAGTGTTCATTTCTTCATCAGCACTGTGGCCGCATTGGCATTCGCAACCTTCCTTGTCTCTGCCTACGATCCCAGTCCTCTGCAGGACTTCTGCGTAGCAATTAATAACCCCCAATCTGGTGTATATATATATTAGTATATCATATTATTCATCTACCATGTGTCTCCATATTTATGTAATATTATCTATTTTCTCTGTTAATTATACGTTTTTGCACGGCGTGGTTTATATGCATGAAAATTTCATCTGCATGCATATACACATGTATAGACATGTATAACTGATATATACATACGTATAAGAATCCATGTTATTTGTACTATATTATATCATCGTTTTACTGGTCACGCCTCTAATAGAGGTGTGTCCCATGGATGTAGATTACACATGTATAAGAGGGCCAGTCAATAAGATCTCGTTTGAAAGTGTTTTTAGGATAAGTGAAAGCGCTTTTCGTAAAAATGTTTTTGGGACCAATCCTTGGTAAATATGCAAGTAAATCTTAGAAAAACACTTGACGTACTTCCTGCAAGAAAGTCATAATAAATACTTTCATTTCTTTGTAGTGTTTGTGAATGGGAAATTCTGCAAGGACCCAAAGCTTGTCACAGCAAATGATTTTTTCTTACCCGGCCTCCAAATCCCGAAAAGCACAGCAAATCCAGTTGGTTCGACAGTGACAGCGGTGAACATGGATAACCTAGCAGGACTGAACACTCTCGGCATATCCCTGGCTCGCATAAATTTTGCACCAAATGGCCTAAACCCTCCTCACACTCACCCTCGTGGCTCCGAAATTCTTGTAGTCTTGGAAGGTACACTCTACGTTGGCTTTGTCACGTCAAACGCCGATAATAATCGGCTAATCAGCAAAGTGTTGAACAAGGGAGATGTGTTTGTGTTCCCGATTGGTCTCATTCACTTCCAACTCAATGGTACGGAAATGCAGTAGCGATTGCTGGACTTAGCGGCCAGAACCCAGGAGTGATCACCATAGCAAATGCAGTGTTTGGCTCCAAGCCTCCCATCAATCCTGATGTTCTAGCCAAGGCCTTCCAAGTGGACAACAAGCTGGTTGATTATCTTCAGAAACAGTTTTGGTACGACAACAATTGATAACGAAGAATTATCTGGGAAAATTAAGAAGGAAAAGGCCATTAGGAACGATCCATGTATGCCTGGTCGGATGTGCTAATTAAGTTGGCCAATATATAAATTGAATAAGATGGTTAATGCTTTTGTATACCTAATCCTTGTGTGAATTTTGATATGATACGATATTATATATGGTATGTTCTGATGTGCGCTATGTCTCTTAAATCTCTTTTTAACTTTGACAAGTTAAGGAAATTCTTCCCATGCCTCATATTTCAATGATTCGGAACAATTTATATTTGGATACACTTGCATTTTCCTCTTGGATGATGGGCTCATTCCTCCACTTGCAAGTAATGTATATTTACCGTAAAAACCTTATAATCAGAACCGTTCAACTTTCTAATCTTCACGTCAAGATTATCCTTTCAAAAATTCATTTGAATATGAGATCGCTTAGTCATCCAAATATATCAAATAAATGGGCGATTTATCATTAATATATTATACGTACCTATATCGTTGATTCATATGATAAACTTAGGATTTATCAGTAACTGTGAGAGGCCTTCGTACCATGGCGATGGCGGCTTACCAAGGTATGAGCTTTATCCTCTACATGGGAAGCATGAGTTTGTTAGAGTGAGTCCAAGGCTCCTTACGCGTCCTGCCGAAGGACGAAGAAATGCTGGAAATGATGGAGTGCGTCCTAATCTCTCCTCTTACTTTCTCCTACTATTGTCCTACATCACCTCCAAAAATGCAAGCTCTAACTAGCATTTGTGTTCCTTGGTCCCATTTAAATACCCTTGAGCTCCCAAGAGCATAACCAATACGATTTCGAAGTTCAGAGAATCACACTGCATCAACAAAGGGATTAATGTAACCCCCAATACATTCAGGAATCTGACCTCAAACAAGCGCTAAGGGCTCAAGTTCCTTGACTTCAATCCAAAACTTAAAAGTTCCAGCCTTGCTACAATTCAAGTATAGCGAGAACAGTAACCAAGCAACCTGGTAAGCTGCTCACAACAGTTACGGTTTCCTGCAAAGTAAACAGCAAGGGTCATGTCCAGATGCTCCACAGAAGCGGAGTACAAAGCTTTGAATCCGGCCTATTTTAAAAGACTGACATCAGTTTTATCTGCCCCTCCAACTCATTGTTATGATAATCTGTCCACTATTGCTCTCAGCTTGAAAGACTGCAGAAATTAGAAGATAACACTAATATTGAAGATCAAAGAACTTGCTTCGTGCCTGAATAATCTCAACAACAACAACAACAAAGCATTTTCCCACTAAGTAGGGTCGGCTATGCATTCCTCTTTGACGTCGGCGCCGCGCCAGACAGACGACCTTGACGGTCGACAGCTCGCAACGGACACGACAGTCGTTGTGCCTGAATAATCCCAAACCAATAAAATTGGCTTTGTGCCTAAAACTTCAACTTAGAGAGACAGCTATCGTGCCTTCAGAAGTATCAAATCAGAACTGGCTTCGTGCCAAATAACATTTCTACAATTTCAATCAACGAGGCTTCGTGCCAAACTAATCAACAATCATTCTTCTAAACAAAAATTCCACCATAACCCAATTCACCAAATGAGCAGAAAAGAGACCAGAAAATCTCAGAGAAAAACATAACCTCAGGAAAAGATCTTGAGTTATACATTGGATCAAATAGGTGGGATGCACGAACACCAGAACGAAACTCTGCAGACAAAGTCGCAACCTTGAGCCCAGATGAGTACACCGAAGAATAGTGATCAAACGGCGTCAGCCATTTCTAGTTCGTGATACCATCATAACAACAATGGTGTGGTGATCATGATGTTTGACAAGAAATGCAGAAACGAAGAAACGGAGAGAGAAAGGAAGAAGAAAGAATCGGTATATCTTGTATATTCCCAATAGAATGAACCGTACAGTTTTAGTGATATATCCCACTATTTATACAACCGAGAATTACTTAGCTCCCAAGGCACTTAGGTAACATACAAAACAGACTAGCAAACCAAACTAACCTTCTAACGAGCTCCATAAGATGACCTAACCAACACTGTTCATCGAAGTGTAAATCTCTACTGTGCATGTCTTGATAGGATAATGCATTATGAAGTGACTTGTCAAGCTGTTAAACTGATGAGCAGAAACTTTTAAAATTTAGCACAATTACTCATACAATATGATGAACTTTTGATATAAAAGAAATCAACTGTGCGTCTCGGTGAGCAGAAACTTCCCTAAATTATATTACTTAGCTCGTCTTTTTTCGTATCCTTCTTGCTTAGAATAGTATGTCAAATAGCTACATCTAGATCAGTCACAAGTTAGTTACGGTACAAAATGGTAAAAAGAAGAGAAAAGTAAACTGCATAGAGACACACATACAAATATTTACTGCATACCAGCAATAAAAGACCAACGACACTAGTGCTATACTGAAGTTATACAAAAGTATCAAATAACATCATTGTGATGTTATAAGAAAGTTTCCCATTATTACCTGTATCCAAGCTGGTTAAGTTCAAATCGTAGTTTCAGTGCAAACACTAACACAAGCACACTAACTCGGAATGTTTTCATTCTTCTACCCAGAGACATAACTTCATCCTTAATCATAATCAATTGCACGATACTTTAACAACAACAACAACAAAAAGTATTCTTTTCCTTGTATATTTTCTTGTTCGGCTGCTCTGTATTCACCCTACAAGTAATCAGTGAGACTGGATACATAGAGAATGAAGCAATTCGAACGCATTAGTTGGAACATAAAATTCTATTGATTTGTATCAAGAAATTCACTTAACATAATAAATTCTACAAATTTCAACGCTAATACAACATTGGGATTCATTAATGGATAAACACCAACCTCTACTTGACATCAAAAGCTCTGATAGTTACGTTGAACCCCATCAAGGAAATGCAGTGAGCGTAGCCTCAAAAACGAAACCCCGGGAAAGCCCATCGCCACTTCCGGGAACCCCATCAATCCACCGCCACTCGGCTTTCCCGGAACAACGGTCCCACAAAGCCAATCTCCCAATTCTCTTTGCCGAAAAACAAACCTTGTCGCCGCCACCAAACACCTTGAACTTGCTCGACTCTTGAAAGCACCTGAACATCTCCACCGGCATTCGGCCCGCCTCGTCCCACTCCAAGCTATCCAAGTCCAGCCGCAGAATCAAAATCGTCGAACACGAAGCGTTGAGCGAGAAAGACGACTTCAACCCACCAACCATCAGCACCTTGTTTCCATTCCCCCGAACCAAACGGGGTCGCTTCAGGATGTCGAAGACGTCCCCCCACTCGTGCTTTTCGAGCCGAGTCCACGTCTGCGAGGTCTTAAGCTTCGAAATTGTGCAACGGAATAGCTTCCATTGACACCGCCATGGCGAACCCACATCGCACAGGGCGTAAACCGAGTCGAACACCAAAATTGGGCTTCTGGGTTTTGAAGGGAGGTTCGATGAGAACTTGAGCCACTGGTTCGAACCGGAGAAGTAGAGCGCAGCGAGCTCAGTGAGGACCATGACTCGGGTTTGGGAGTCAACGAGGACCGAGCCGTGGCGCGACCAGGCCGAGCCAAGCTGAGGGAGGACTCGGAACTGGCGAGTCAGAGGGTTGCAGACGACGAGTGACTTGGTTGACTCGGGCGGGTCGGGCGAGTCGCCCCAGAGGTAGACGAGGCCGAGGGAGGAGGCGACGGGGTGTGGGGAGCGGAAGGGGAGGAAATCCAGGGGGAATCTGAGCCATTGGTTGAGGTCGGGGTCGAAGACGTGGAGGCAGGATGGGGAGGACAGGTGCCGGTGATGGGGAGGGCGGAGGGCGAGGAGGTTGAGGGGCGGAGATTGGGTGGAGATGAGGTGGAGGAAGGAGGGTGAGGTGAGGAGTTGGTTGAAGAACTTGGAGAGTGAGCGGCAGATCATGATCTGACGGAGGGGAAGGCTCGAGAAGATCTGGTGGAGCGTGTCCTGCGGGAGAGCGTCCATGGCTTTTTGCGGTGGGCTGCCGGAGTACTGGATAAGAGGAAATGCACAGATCGAAGACTCAAGAGTGAGACAGAGAGAAAAACGCAGTTGAATGAAATGGTGGATTGTGGGCTGCGTAGAAGAAATACGCACGTATTGGTTGTTGTAATAAGAGACCTGCTAGTGTTTTGTGCAAAACACAAAAATAAATAAATAACTAAAAATAGATTTGTATCTAAAATGGTCTTTTTTTTTTTTTTTTTTGTCAAACGATAAATTTTGTTAAATTAGATATTAGATTAGCTACCAGTTTGAACCCACATTGTCATGCAAGGGCTCAACACCTTTCCCACTCTTTATTAGTCTCTAAGGTTTAAAATCGATAGATGTGGTTCATGAGATTGTACACCGTCAATTATTTTGATCATTTTGTGATAGATCTCCGTTTAATTGATGATATTTTTGTCAAATCATCCTCTTCTCTTGAACGGATGATTTCTTCAATTTAAATGAGATTTTTCACATAATGACTAAAATAATTGGCGGTGGACAATTCCAAAGACCATTTCTATCAATTTTAAATCTCAGTGACCAAACTGAGGAGTTATGACAATCTTTGAGATTATTTTGGCTAAAAAATATTACTTTCGCAAAGTGTGGAGTGATGATGAAGAAGGATTTCGTCTTCAACTCATTATGTTTTAGGTTTGAAATTATTTTGAGAAAGCAAAGGATTACAAAAGCAAGGGAAATATTTTTGCTCACCATCCTAAAGTGAGAGTGATGCTCACTACCCTAAAATGATGATGATGCTCACCATCTCATTGATTACCATTGGATGAGTTCGATTTAATCTATCTAGTACAAAAATCTTAAAACTTAAACCAATCAAATGATATTTAATGGAGTGGCAAGCATTACCACTACTGTAAGATGGTGAGCAAATATGCACTCAAGCATAAGGCATTCCTTGCGCCATTTTGAAGTTGAACATTATTAAACCAAATACTTTAAGAATGAAGAGAGTGGCCAGATGAGCTAAAGCATCTGCTACAAAGTTGGAGGTTCGAACTTGTATATTTTGATTAGTAAAGTTTGGAGAAGTAGTAGTTATTTAGTACTATGATCTAGTAGTATTTATCTTTACTTGTAATTAAGAGGTCTTATGTTCAAATCTTGGAAATGAGGAGTTCCCCACCAATTTATTCATGCAACTCTTTTGTGTATTATATTATTGTATAATAAAAAAGTTTGGAGTAACAATATTATTTTGGTTGAATTGTAGCATTAGTCAATTTAATTTCCGTTCCTAAACTCTGATAATTGTTGCTCATGTTCTTGAATTATGTCATGTATTTTTATTCCACTTCGTCGATATATTGTTCTTATATTTGGTTTGAAAATTTTTGGGGCCGATCGACATGATTGTTTAAGGAATGGAGAACTCTCCAGTGGTGATGAATTCATGTATAACATGAGATAAAAGTAGTTTTAGGGTTTCAAATATTCTTTTTCTGTATATTCTTCTTCTTAGGAGGTAATATATAAATATACAACTTCTCCTTATTATCAAGGAATATTAAAGAAAATTCTAATCAAACAAGGAAATATAAATACATTCCTATTCCACCTAAAACTTTGACTCATGCTAACAACATGTTGCCACATGGAGTATTGTTTATGATTTATATTTACTCAATGCTTTTATGCTCATATAATGTTAATATTTTCAAAGGAAAACTAATGAAAAGGACTTGAAAACTTTGAGTTTTAATGATAAGGACAAAATAAAGGGCAAAGTGAATAGTACCAGAATTGACTTTTTAGTGTAAAAATGTGTTTTTTCGTTAAAGTGAACAGTACCGGGTGCCTTTCGTTAAAGTTCCCTATTTTCAATGATAATTATCTTCGTGTTTTTGGTTGTAGTTATACTCATAATATAAGACCATCTCCAACCCTTGGGCTAAAAGCCAAATTTTTTAGCCCGGAAAATTTAGCTTTTAGCCCAGAAACATTTTTTCTGCTCCAACCCTTCTACCCTAAAATTTTAGCCCGGAATAATTAAAGAATGAAATTAGCTTAAATTTTTTTCTTAAATCAATTTTTTTTTAAAAAATAAATATGTAGATTATTGTAAATTAATTTTATGAACATTTTAATCTAAAAAATTTTAAATTCCGATAAACATTTCGCATTTAGCCCGGGGGGAAAGCTGGGGGGTATTTGGCCCAGAAATAGCATTTGGCATTTAGCCTAAAATTTTAGCATGGGTTGGAGAGTGTTTGGGGGGGGTAATTTGGCTTTTAGCCCAGGGTTGAAGATGGTCTAAATAAAGCAATTATGTTGAATAGCGTGAGGTGTGCCTGCATTATACTGTATGCGACATGATCTTGAAAGAGTACGTAACAAGCTTCCCTACTTTATATTTTGTATCTATATCGATGCAGCTCACACATAGGCTAGATTTACTTATTTTGTTAGACATATCTTCTTTGAACGGTGAGCTATATATTGTTTGTTTCTCATTCTTGAGGATCATGTAATGCTTTTAGTCGACCCACTCCAACAAAAGTAGCTTTTAGGAAAAATTTAATGGTGTTTCTATACGCCAATAAACAGTTCAAGTGACGTTTGTAAAACTTGCGTCATTACAATGTTTTGAAAACTTGCGACATTACCAATCATATTCTCTACGGTGCTTCTAAGATAACAAATGAACCCTCTAGTAAATCTTAGGAGAAATAAATGAACTACTACTAATGGCTCATAACATATATCAATGACTAAGGATGGATCAAAATCGACTTTGATGGCCTTGTCCTAAATTTTGGAGTCATTACAGATGATAATGGAGTTGCTCTTTTAGTGGGTACCAACTAGATTTGTAGGACAATGTCTCAAGTGTTGAATGTCAAGCCTCTAGCCTTCGCTCTTAATTGAGGGTGGAGAAAAGTGAAGTTAAAGGGGATGTCAAGATTGTTGTTGATCGTATATTTTACCTCCATGGACAATCATTGCTTTATTTAAAGACATTTGGATTCTTATTCCTCTCTTCGCGGAAGTAAACTTTGTCGTGGATGTGGTGAGTATATCTAGGACATAAAGTTCAAATTTCAGTTGTAGAATGAAGGTATTGTGGGACATGATATTTTTTTTTTTTTTTGTCAGAGTACGATGGATCGAAATGTAAGCGCCTCTCTAGTTTGGTCATGAACTAAGTGGGCTCGATTGGATTGGGTTGTACAAATGGCGGGCAAGGCTGCAGGTCTTGTTGAGAATAACCCATGCTTGCTCTGCAAGATACGGAAGCTTGTTCCTACGAACTAGTTTCCTATTCGTGGAGATTAGGGATTGACTTGAGCTATAAGTAATCACAATTTTATAAGAAAAGAATATCTATTGCTAGATGTCAGCTAGAATTTTCCCAGCTTTATTCAGATTCACTACCCTAAAATGACTCTCTCAATCACTATGATACACCTATTTAGGATTCATCAAGGTAATTCTAATATTGTGCACTCTACATACATATCGCTCCTTCGCTCTCTAACCCACTGCTTGAGTTATAAAACCTTTACTGACTTGACCTCATATAGCATTTGGTTGGTACCACACCCAATTCCTAGGAATTCACAGTTTGTCTCTCTTTTTTGCAGGTGACTATTCTTACACTCCTCCATTCACGGTAGCGCGCGGACTTGCCTTCTATTTTGATCGTTTGGTGTGTCATTCCCTAAGCACTTCTATTTGTTATCTCTTTACCGTATAAAATAAATGAATAATAATTTTGTAAGTACTTTATAAATAGAACACTCGCTTCCAACTTCCATTACATCAAACTGAACAAGATATGTCTAATGCTTCTAGGAATGGGACATGCTACTCCCAGTGACAGATGTACATTGAGACCAATGTGGTCCTAAGACCACTTAGAGTCCAGAAATATACATGTGAAGGTCTTTTGAGGATCCTCTGAAATGTTTAGTATGCGTCATTTTGTGGCCATCAAGTGTTTGATGTATGGCTTAAATGTCAAAATGGTCCATGTGTTATAGTCACATAACCAATTTAGTCATCATATTTGTCTCTGTTAGCCAATTAAGGACATTTCATTCAATCTCTTTTAAAAAATTCATAGAAAAATCATATGAGAAATAATTACCTTTTCTCTTTACAGAAAAATGCAAATTAATGAGAAATAACACATAAAAAATAAAACTTGCAATCTAAAAAATTGATAAAGGTTGTGACACAGAGAAGATAGGGTGTAATGTTCGGGAGGAGGTCGGAGAGTTGGGAGGAGAATTTTTCTTTTAATTTTTAATTTTATTTCATTTTAAATATTTTAAATCAAATAAATTATAATTTTATAAATATGTTTACAATAATTTGTATTTTTTTTACAGAAATTAGGTGGAAATGTCTTTAATTGGCTATGGAGATAAACACATGGACCAAATTGACAAATTGAAAACGTAGGGACTAAATTGACCCAATGACTTAAACACATGGATCATTTTAACGTTTAAGCCTTGATGTAATGTCTGCTAGACATATCTCGACAGCACTCGGCATGTTGCGTTGAGATCATTCAAATTTTCTCAATAGCACTCATTAGTTTGCTTCGGCATATGTTGATATATGTCGACATGTGTGCAACATGATTCGGATAGCGACAAGTCCAACAAGTGTACGACAAATGCCTTGGTGAATACACTAAAGTTTTTTTTTTCCGCGATTTCCTTTGTTTCTATTAAAAAACTTAGACCTTTAAAACTGAAATATCACAATATTCAAGTACTAGATCTAGCGTCACTCGGTACTATGGTCTGATGATATTCCTCTTCACTTGTAAGTGAGGTCTTAGGTTCGAATCTCGTGGATGGCGAATTCGATACTAAATTAGATTGCTCATTGTGTGGTTTAGTCGAACTCTCTCTTCTTCTTAATATAAAATATATCATTGTACTAAAAAACAAAAGGATAGCACTGGCTACTCACATTAAAAAAATATGATAATCCTCTATAAAGTGTGAGTTATTAGACAAAAAGAGAAACAAACAAATGAGGACGTCAGCCCAACGTCTAACATGGAGAAACAAACAAGTGTGAGTTACTGGATAAATTTATAGCGGTGGAGCTTCGTCATAATTATGGCATGAGTTTGTTTTTTCGTTTGCGTGTAACCAGCAGACGACATTTACCACGTGACTCGCGCCAAATGAACTGGGCATTTCCTTAGTGCAGTTCCATCTCTAAAAAAATATGCTCGCATCCAACCCATTTAACTCAGTGAACAATTATAGACTCCAGTGAACAGTAATAGATTAAATGCATCTTCACCTCTAAAAAAATGAGCTGGCATAAAGTCTAAAAAATACGCTGGCACAAACGATCTTCATCCCTACAAAATGTGCTGGTACCTAACCCATTTAAAATATTTTAATTTTTTTATAAAAGAATAAATAAATAAAATAGTTTTAATTTCGGATATGATTTTTAACCAATCTCGTCACACCACTTGTCATTATCTGAACGTAATATTTTGTGAATAGATTTCCGTTAAGATTTTCAACAAATTCCGACATGTCACGTGTCACTATCTGTTTACAATCATGGTCTAAAATATCCATAATATCCCGATATTTCCATCGAAATTTCCGTGTTTTTAGACTACCAATATTTTTTTTTACTACCGATATTTCCGATATCATCGATATTTTAGACCTTGCTAAGTCACTCATGTATCTTACTATACAATGTATAAAGTGTAAAATATTGTACTAATTCATTATATATAAATGATTATGGTGTGTTTAAATTTCTTTCATTAATTACTACATTCTACACTCACAATGTTTGCCAGCTCGTTATATAATCAACTTAAATCAATTATATCTATCATGCAATGCATTTCTTTCCAATTTTTTGTGATAAACTAATAGATAATTGACTAAATAAACATCATGCAAAGTTTCAATAAAAATTTTCAAGTTTTTCTTACAATTTCCATGATTTTTATTCAATTTTTATCGATATCGATAATATCCCGATATTTCCATCGAAATTTCCGTGTTTTTGGATTGCCGATATTTCCGATATCATCGATATTTAATACCTTGTTTACAATAATTTAGTCAAGATTTCGATAAGATTTTCAATCAATCTTATCACGTCACCTGTCATTATCCGAACGTACTATTTTATGAAAGCTTTGGTAAAAAAGTGTTGAAAATATTGAAATGTGGTGTAAGGTGGAAGATAAGAATTAGGTATTTATAGAAAAATAAATATATTTTTTCTGTATTTTTTTAACAATATTTCATAATTTTTAATTAATTTTTTATAAATTTTAATTTAGTTAATTAATATGGACCGTTGGATTTAAAAAATATTCAAATCCAACAACCTATATGTTGACATGTGGCCAACGGTCATAATTCTTACCGTTGTGCCTTTTTTTAATTTGTTTTATTTTTAAGGGAAAAACATGGACCGCTGATCTGTGGATAGGACGGTCCAAATCAAGCCACGTCACTAGCCGTTGGATGTCAAATTCAAAAATGTTTGACCGTTGGAAATCCAACGATCCAGAAAACTAGCCGTTGGAAATCAACAGCCCAAGACGGGCCACGTGGCCTCCCCATTCGTTCGCTTAGTGCGCTTCCGCATGCGGGCCCCGACTCTGATTCTTGTCGGCGACACGCGCCCATTCACGCGTGCTTCCCATGCACCTGGCACAAAAAAAAATTCAAATGCCGGTTGACGCCATGTTGGTGTCAGATGGGCCATCCCTTTACTTTGTCGATTCTGGGCTGGCCTGTGGCCTGGCTTGGGCTGGGTGCTAGCCTAAATAGCTGGGGTGGAGCCAAAATAAGGGGATGCCGGTCCATTTTTTGGCCTGGGTGCAAGCCTAAAGGGCTGGGGTGGAACTACTCTTAACTACAAAACATTTAGGGTGTGTTTGTTGCACCGGATTATTTCGGACTGGACTAACTTTAGGGACTAAGCTGGATTGGCTTAGAATAGACTAAGCTGGACTGATTTAGTACTGGTTTGGTACTGAGGTGCTTTTATAAAAAGTGGGTATAAAAAAAAGCTGAGCTAAAAAAGGTGTTTGATAAACACTTAAAAATAGCTTATTTTCCCAGTTTTGGGTGAAAAAAAACTGAAAACGTGAAGCAGCAAAAATGAGCTTATTTTCACAGCACAACAGAAACAGTTTTTTTTCAAAGCACAACAATACCAAACCAACCCTTAGTGAAGCGTTTGGTGCTGTGTTAGACTAAAAAGCAGGACTCATTTATTATATTATTAAATTTATATTTACAATATTTTATCATTAATTTAATCTATATACACTAATATTTTATTATTAAATTATCATTTTCTTTTCTAGAACCATCTTCTGTCTTTTTATTTTGGTCAAGCTCTTAATCATCTTCCTCTCTCATTTTTTTGTCCGCCCACTGCATCCTTCCCCTCTCCTTTTTCTCTGCCATTTTATTTGTGCCACTGTCTCTTTCCCATTTCCCTTTTCTGGGTTTTATGGGTTCAATTTTTCTGGGTTTTCTGGTTGTGGGAAGCAGGGAAGAAGGAGATGTGAGGGGCAAAGCAGAGCAAAGGTAACAGTGGAAGAGGTCAAGGAGGACGAAGCTCGAAGTCCTTACTGTTGAAAATTAAGGTCTAGGAGGAAGGAGCCCAATCGGAGGGCGTGACCGATGAGCTTGGTTTGAGCGAAGGTGAATCAGACGACGGAGCTTGTGAGTTATGCGATTCAAGTTTGAATTAAGGTCTTTGTTCATGATTCAGGGTTGGGGACGAGGAGAGAGGGAGATAATGCGAGCAGAGATGAGGGTAGAGGACGCGAGCAGATAGTGATCGAAGGGATTAGCTAGTCCTATGGTTCGCAACGTCTCTCGCTAAGACCGTCTAGCACGGTCCTTAATCGAGGCGAGTCCGGCTTACTCCCACTAAAGCTAGTCCCGTGAAGTAACAAACATGGGACTGGACTAACTATTAGTCTAGTCCAGTCCAATGAGGGTTAATGAAGGGAAACAAACACACCCTTATTATATTCCCCCACAATTTCAACCATATCCACTCCACTATTTAATACTAGCAAAAGGCTGCACACTTAATGTGTGTTATTTTTACTCTTCCCAAATATATTTTTTTAAATTTTTTATAGGAGTTATTTGTTTTTCAAAGGATTAGGTATTTAAAAAAAAGGGTTGGCAATTAAGAAGAGAGAAAGAGAGAATTAGTTTATAGGATGGTGATAGGGTGGCTTGACTGTGAGATTTAGAAAAAAATATTAGCAAAATTTTACAGGAATTTCAATTGCGCTTAAATTCATCACGGTAGGAATTGGGTCAAGCTTTTCTTAGTCCTTGTCATCATTTGACTCTTGAATTCTCAAAACTTCTGTCTCTCCACTCCTACAAGAGCAGAAAACCCACCGTTGTCTTGGTTGTGCTGCCAGAGGCTCTGGGGCATGTCCAAATGGAATTATATGAATATGTAGTTTACATTAGATAATATATAAAATATGAATAAAAAAGGGAAAATGTTTTGTCTTGACTTTAGGACGGAGGTCTTTTCCTTTTCCAATCCCTACTCATTCTCTCTCTAACCATATGATGACATTCTTCTCTCCTTCAAAGTTCAAACTTGCCTTCTCTTTTCGGAAACTTCACGCTGCTACAGTGATTTTGTATGACGAAATTGCCCTTGGCTTCCTCGCGAAATCTCATACAGGTCCTCGTCTTTCTTCTGGATTCCACCAACAGTCAAAGATCCTCTGCTGATCATCGACAGCTCTCCGAACTCGCTTTCTCCTCCACCTCCTCCGTATTTTCATGGAAAACTTGCTGACTTGACCTTCCCCTATGGATTTGACCGAGGGCGTCGGAGAGAGCTCCTCGCCGCCGAGAAGCTTCGTCGGCTTCAGTAACTACGATGTCCGTAACGATGTCTACAACCGCTTGGTGGAGAGCGGCCATGAAGACGCTCTGACTCTGCCGGAGTTCCGTGGACACTTGGACGCGCACTTCAACCGCTTGCCGGCTAGGTATTCCACTTCGATCACTTTCCTGTATTTTCATTTTAACGAACTTCGGCTATTGATTTGTTCTGGAATCAGTTTTTTCAGAACAGAATATTATTATATTATTGAAGTATGAATCGTTGTGAAGCTCTTAGAGTCTCAAATGATGAGCCAAACATGATTGATTTCTTGAGTTAATATGCTTTCGGAGCGGTTTTGGTGAAGTTTTTAATGTTTCAGCACCAATAAGTTTGTGCATACGTTTGAATGTCGATTTTGTGCTGTAATCTTTGTTCTGTATGCATATGACTATTTGTTGAGCTGGAAATGTTGTGTGTGTGTGTGTGTTGTTTTCTTGCTTATTATCTGTAAGAATTAGTCGGTTTGACTATGTGAGATATGCAATGTGTGTTTGGACGGAAATTAGTCCCGCACAGCGCAGTCAATTTTTTCCTATTTTTATTTGAACTGGAAAGTATTCTTCTTTTTGGAAGTACCTTTCCGGGAGGCACAAATTTTCCTTTGGTTTGTCAAGAAATGTTATTTCAAGGCAAACCTTTCCAGGCCCTATGTTATAATGAAGATTTGTTTAAAATATTACCGGGAAAAGTATTCACTAGATTTTCCAAGATATTTTCTACTGCAGAACTTCATAAGAGCAATAGCAACATGTTTCGTTGTCCTTTTGATGGGGAGGGTGATGAACCTAATTCTACGTTAGTTATTTATTTTACTGATTTTGTTCTCTGCACAGTTATGGACTTGATGTTAACTTGGATAGAGTGGAAGATGTCTTGTTACATCAAAAGCTTCTTGCTTTGGCAAAAGACCCAGAAAAGCGGCCCGTTTATCATGTCCGTTTCATGGAGGTACTAACAATCATTTGTTTCAGTAGTTTATGTTTGGAATCTTGTTCTGAACTAGAATTACTTTGAGTTCCACTGCTAAAAATCTTGTTCTGAACTATAATTACTTTTGAGTTCCAGTGCTAAACCAAGTATTAGTTTATTTCCTGTTGTTATGAAAAGCCACATGTTAGAATGTCTGTAACAACTTGTATTCACATAATCTTTGTATTCCATAAAAAGTTTAAATTATCTGGACAAATACTATATTTCCTTTTAAGCCCACAGAAGGATGGGGCACCAGCGACTTCCTTGACAATGACTCACAATGTCCCTAACTGTGGTTAGCTTTGAGAAATGATGGAATAATTGGGAAAATGTTATCCTTAAAAGGTATAAAGCCGCGGTTGCAACGTTGAGGAAGGAGGTATAATTAACACAAACGGTTCTGTGCTACTACTTTGTTATGACTCTGGCTTGCACTAAGTAAAGGGCTTCAGTGGAGAAGAAGATAAGGTTGGTGCATGGTTTCAAGTTCCAAATATGGTAGGACTACAAATTCCTTGCCTACTGATGCAAACTTGTGCGCTTTAGGTTTGAAAACTTGGGTATACACCACAAGTGTACAAGACAGCCCAAATGAAAAAACCAAATTAGTTCTTAAAAACCAAAATCTAAACTAGCCTTTTTTCAGCACATTCACTGTAAACTTTGTAGGTTCATTTAAATTTTTTATCTCCAATTGGTTACTATTTGTCGCACAAGTTCGGCTTCTGATTTTCAATATGTTAGTACTCAACAAAAGTTACCATTACCTAAGTCCTTAGTCTTAACCTCAGAACTAAGTTTTTTTGGGTAATTAATGATATAAGTTTTCTTTTAATAAGATTTTCTTAGTCTCAGAATAAAATAAAAAGTCATTATGTCATATAGACATTACTTGTTATATTGTTAATTAGAACAAAATAAAAAACTGATTAGCTAGTGTGATTTAGTTTACTTAGTATTTCAACTATACCTTCTTTTAGTCTGATATGATTTTTACTAGCTGATCTATCGGAAACATTTTTGGGTTCTGGGAAAAAAGATGGAATTGTTATTTCACGATGTTGTTGACCAGGATCTGGATCAATCACAATGTGTGGTAATGTGTAATCTTGTTGCATGTACTGACTGTCACTTTTCCTAAAGAAGCCTTGACTACAACAACAAAGCCTTTTCCCACTAAAGAAGCCTTGACTACACTTGAAAAATAAGATTTTACAGAATCTTTTAAAGATCAGAAACTTTGCTGCTGTTCCAATGTGTAATCAGTTTTTTTTTTCCCCTTCTATTTTTTTATCACAAAGTTCCTCAATGTTTATGTTAATCTTCTTTTGGTTCATCTGTGTACTTGTGATCAGAATACTTCTACCAGGACAGATGACGACGACGATGATGTTCAACAATTTACAAGTATTGCTTCAACCCAAAGGCCATCATGTGATGAAACTAATGAAGGAGCTGCTCTGTCACATGGGTATTAACCGTATTATATCTGTGTTGTATTCAGTATCTAATTGCTTAAATATTTTGCTGTATTTTTTCCCAACAAGGGTTTCAATGACTCTCTGGATATTTATCTGTGGACCTTTGGTGGTCACTTATTTATTTCTTATTTACTTCATTTCTCTGAGTAGAACTAGGAATTGTGCGGTTGACTTTGAACCTTGCTCTAGGCTCGGGGACCTAAATTTGGATGTTAGAAAGAATGCTATGGACATGGACGGAAGACATCTGACGGAGTGTTCTCCCACAAGGTACTTGACAAAATTTTGTTGGGTTGTTTTCTGTTTTAGAATAAACACTACTGTAGTTCATCATAACAAGATTTTTTACTTTCACATGCCCCATTTTACTTCATTCACACTTTTTCAGTTTTTAATAGTTGTTTGCTCTTCGTCAAGGCCCACCTCTAAGATAAAGACAAAGGATGGAAGAACAAATAAATATTAAATTCAAACTTCAAAGAGCGTGTGGGAGGTAAAATGGGGGGGGGGGGGGTTGAAAATCACCATCATTTTCCCATTGTCAGATTAATGCTTACCATTTCTTACTTCAATTTTCGCCAGCATCTTGGTTTACTCATTTACTTTATTTTAGTGAGCCGCAAGCTTTTCTTTGGCCTCTAACCAATAATAAATAAAATGAAAGGGCTCAATAGAAACATAATGCATATTGAGAGCAACGAGCCATAATGGCTTTGGTCCCTATTCCCTAATTATTTTGAGTAACCCTTCGTAAGAAATCTTTATTTCGAAGGTTGATTGGTTGTCACTCAATCAGTTTTTTTTCCCTTAAGAATTTAATGGAATTCAGTGGTTGCTAGGAAAGTTAACTTTAACCTTGGGCTTTGGCTGATGAATATTGGCTTTTTAGTCAAAATGGTTTCTGAGATTCGCATAATTCCTTACTTTGGTCTCTGAGATTTAAAATCGCAATAAGTAGTCCCTGAGTTTGTCCACCATCAATCATTTTGGTCATTCCGTGAAAAATATCCATTAAATAAGGATAAAATGACAAAAATACCTTCAATTTTTGTCAAATCATTTTGGTCCATTGTTTATTAAATTGAGGGTATTTTTGTCATTTTGGTCCTTATTTAACATAATTTGTCCCGGAAGGACCAAAATGATTGATGGTGGACAAACTTAGGGACCACTTCTATTGATTTTAAATCTCATGGACCAAAGTGGGAAGTTATGCCAATCTCAGAGACTATTTTGGCTAAAAAGCCTGAAATATTTAACACTAGTAATTGCTTTAAAGAAGAGTCAGACCTTTCTTTATTTCCTAAATGGTGCATAAATGAGTGGGGAATAGATGCGTCGAAGAGATATGAATTGGTTATGGAGCAGATTGTTATGTTCAGTAAAGATAGTTATTGTTTTGCTTCATTTGAATTCTCATATTTACCGTATAAATTTTCGAGGATTTGGGATAATGAAGAGTGAGTTAATATTGAGATGCGCACTGAAAATATTGTTATGGGTCAAGCATCAAGTATTTTTAGCTCTTAGTAGTTACTAGTAGAATAAGTATGTTGCCTTACTATAGGCTTTCAGTATCAAAGTTTTGGGTGGAATTTTGTGAAGCTCTCTTTCCATAGGTTGGAAGACACTTGTTTAAAACTTACTTCTTGCTTTAATGTGCAGTATTTTTTTTATCAAAATTTTATTCTGATAATTTTTTTGTATCTTATCAAACAGAAGTTAGATAAACATTTCGTAAAGCTATAAAGAATATGTTGACAAACAATTACTCTATATGATATGTCATGTGCATAAATGGTAGACATGATGATGCATAGAAGTGTATATGTAAACGTGAAATTGTATGCATAAACACATATGCATGCATATATAAATAGACATATGCATATAAACAGACAAATGTATTAAGTAATATGCTAAAGGTCTTATTTTCCAAAATAAAAATAGAAAATACATTTTTCTGTATGCTGATATTAGCTTTATCAACAATTAGCCTAAAGTATAGTTTTGTTTCAAACTACTGAATTTGTAAAATTGGAGTTCTTTTGCATTTTTTTCGGCAGTGAACATAATCCCTTTTGTTTTTATATGAACTGTGTCCGTATATTGGAGAGATTACATTTATACTTATGGGCTGGTTTTTCTCCACCTTTAGGGATCTATCAATTTCTAACATCTTATTAGATTGGGGAGCTGTTACAGGGTAGTTTTTAGAGTTTCATTACACTGTCATAGGTGTAATTCGGATTTATTTATTTATTTATTATTTGAGTTGAATCATTTTGTTGGTGGACCAGTTGTTCACAGAGTCTTGTACTGTGCTTTTGAGTTTCTTTAATAAAACTTTGTTTGCCATTTGAAAATACATTTATACTTATGCAGAAATGATATTGACCATTGGGCTGTATAACGCAGGCAAGATATACCACATGTTCCCATTCATGAAGTAATATTTTCAACTATTGACAGGCCTAAGCTTCTTAGCCAGGTACGACTGAGAAGCTTTAAGTTATTTGTTTGTTATCAAGTTTGGTATTACCACCTGGAGTTTTACCTGGATTTCAGTTTCAAAATATTCTTAGAATCTGAATTCTGAAAAATAAAGAGTTTGAAGCTCGAAACTCTGCTGATTGTTTCCTTGTGTGTTTGCAAATTAAGCTGAAGGTCTATTTTGTAGACCAAGTCCAACTATTCAGTGTGTTAAATATAAAAGGGTCATATACGTGATAGTATTTCTGTAGTTTTACTGTTTTAGTGTTCACATGTACAGAATGTTTTCAATTTTAAAGGGTTTTTAACATTTGATAGCTTCATACCATGTAATACGCTGTCTCCACTTAAGGAGTCATCTTGGTATTACTCACTACTATGAATGTGTGCTCAACACCTAATGTTTATAACTCCAACCACCGTCTTGTTTTCATTCTTTAATGACACCCTAACTTGTTGTCCTGTATAAAGCTATCTAAAAAATCGGTTTACTTGGATGTATACAAGTTTCTACCCGATGTTTTCTTATTTTTATTTTATTTGGTACTGCTTATGCTTATTATCTTTTGGGGTAGACAGCTTCTACTGGGGTTGTGTTTTGGCCTCTTTTTAGTGGGTTTATTACTTGTTTGGAGAAAATACGATGTAGTTATGTGACACTGTAATGGCCTGGTATTCATGTCTTTTGGTTCTCCATCAGATCTTTTTGTGTCAACTCTGGAGTCTAGACTCTAATAAACACGATGGCACCTCAATACAGTAAGCTTGGGCATTAAAGATAATTGTGAGAAGACTTTGTATTGGAATAGTTCTTTGTAATTATGATTTGTATCTATTAATATGAAGTTATAAATGTATGGCCTTCAGATTCTGAAATAAGTGGAAAATGAATTTAAAGGTTGCAGTAGACTAGTAATTCAGTACCCTTGATACATATTACAAATATTGTTTATGTTGTAGAATCCAAGAGAACTCCAGAACTGGAACCATACTATGGTCGCATCTTTCTGACTTATATCATTTTTCTCTAGCTTTCTTCGTTGCTTTCGGATTTAGGACTTAACATCCGTGAAGCACATGTCTTCTCAACAACTGATGGCTACTCTTTAGATGTATTTGTGGTGGATGGATGGCCTGTTGAGGTAGATTTCTTCTACTATATAACGTATTTATCGTCATTCACTGTGTACTTTCTACTGTCAGAGTTTTGTATCTTGTAATTTTGCGTGTTAACTATATTACAAATGAGTAATGTCCAATACATGAAACGTCGGATGGCTTTTCTTAAAATATATGCTGCTACATTACGCTTATTTTTGTTTGTTTCTTTGAAGGTCTCTTTTTGTTGGTTATGGATTTGCTATGCAAGCTGTTAATGCTTTCTTTTGGTATGCATGGATGAATGCTTTTTAGTCAGCCTTTATCTTTGATCTATACTATGGCATTGTTACAATGACCTTCACTTTACGAAACAATTATTGTATCTGATGCTTTCCGGTGTTTTTGTTATAAATACTGAGTTTTATCAAATTAACTAAGTTTTTTCAAGGAAAATGTCTTAGGAATACATCAAGGGGAGTTGCGTTTATATTTCTTATATGACAGGGAACTGTGCTGAGTTCAAATGTTGCTGACTTTGCAATGTTGTGGTCAGGATGCAGATGGTCTATATGAAGCTATGGAAAAGGCAATTGCGAGAAGTGAGGTAAATTGCGTCACATTGTTAAAATAATCGAAGAATAATAAGATAGTAATATGTATCTGTTGTTTGGTAATTTAGGGGTCGTGGTCAAGATCTTCACATTCTCATTCGGCTGTGGAGAAAGCATTATCGGTGAAACAAAAACTGGGAAACTGGGAAATAGACCGAAGATTATTAAAGATAGGAGACAGAATTGCATCTGGGTCATGTGGAGATTTGTAAGACGTGTTTTATTTCTGGAATTCCTTTATTCGTTTATAGTCCTTTCTGCTGCTTAACTTTATTTTGCTGTTCATTCTCAGGTATCGCGGAATTTATCTTGGTCAAGATGTTGCTATTAAGATTTTGAGATCTGAACATTTGAATGATGCCCTAGAGGATGAGTTTGCTCAAGAAGTGGCAATTTTAAGGTGAATAATTTTCTAGCTTTATCCTCCTTTTGATCTTGGCTGGTTCCTGCTAGGGAATTCATATGCTTACCAAATCTATTGAGATCTCTTCTCCACTTGTGAACATTTGAAGATTTTCCCATTATTTTCTCCTAATGAATTTGGATTATAAGGGATAACATTCATTGTCCTAATTCTGGTAAACATTTGGTTCAAGTAGAACATGGGTAGGAAAAGGGATTTTGGAAGGTTACAGCTTAAGTTTCTTTCCAGTTGTTTAGCAAATCAAGGTTCCTGGAAGTAAATTTCCGCGAGTTTGGCTGCACTTTCAATCTTAAAAGAAATAATTTTTTTGGAACTTTATTTTCACCCTCTAGAGGTCGCACTTGGTGCGATGGCAAGTGCCTTCGCCCATGAGCGGTAGGTCTCGGGTTCGAGACTTGGGAGCAGCCTCTCCATAAATGGGGGTAAGGCTAGCCGACATTCACCTCTCCCAGACCCTGCGTAAAGCGGGAGCCTTGTGCACTGGGTACGACCTTTTTATTTTCACCCTCTGCATCTATGTGCTAGACTGTACATGAACAATTCCTACATTCTCTGGGTGGTTTTCTTTCTGCACCCTTGTGAACAATTCCACACTTAAATTGATTATGGACAATCTGAACATAGCAAATTTCCTAATCTTCCAAATCAAATGACCGGTTGTGATAGTTCCCTTAAATATTAAACAGATCCTATGTGCCCAAAATTACCTTCCTAGTACCACTCTTTTTATTCCTCTCTTCTTTTGGGGTGGGGGCACATCATCTGGAAACATGTAATAAAAGCTATATGCTTTTCAAGGGCATATATTTTATATCATCTTGATCAGGTGTCCGTTTGCATGGATTTTCCTCAGTACAAATTTCAAAATAAATGCCAAGATATTGTATGTTACTCATTCTTAAATACTGATATATTTTATGTCCGTTTATGATGGCAGAGAGGTCCATCATAGTAATGTTGTGCGCTTTATCGGTGCATGTACAAAGTCTCCACATTTGTGCATAGTGACAGGTATGGAACTCTCCTGTTGGTTGCCTCCAACATTTACTATACCTGTAAGTTAGCTTCTTTTTGTGGTTTTGTTCATTCTGTTTCAGAATCTTACATTTGGAGATGCTTTTAGAAGCATTGCAACTAAGAAAAGTAAGAATAAGCATCAGATTGTTTTATACCTTTTTATTTTATTTTCAGTTTTGTAAGTGAAGCATAGTAGATTCCACTAAATGAATTTACAGCAAAATAAGGGGACACACACACAAACATACATTTCCCTTCTTAAGAGCTATCCCTTTTTACCATTCACAACATACCTCATAAAATATCTTTTATGGAACAAAGGATCATTCTTACACAAAATCAATGAAATCGGATGTTCCTTTCTTAAAAGGTATCCCCTTTTACCATTCACCAAAACAGACCTTTGTGGGCCCAACCATCAATGCAATCCTTTGATCCAAACTGTTCATCTTTTATGACCTCATTCAAGAATCATTCTTACTAAAAATCAATGAAACCGAATGGTTTACTAAAAATCAATGAAATCGGATGGTTTCCACCGATATCGGTGGAGCCAACCAAATTTACATTCTAACTTTTCGAAATTTTTTATTAGAATCAAGAGAAGTATTGATGGAACTAAAAATATCTTTTTTGGAACATACTTTTACTTTGTTGATACTCTTAAGCACTAGAGGCGCTAATGCTTCTTCTCTGAGTATGCAGCATTTAGGAAGATTTTCTTGTGTTCTATATCTTAAATTCCTCTTAAGTTGTTTGGATGTCATGCGTATTGGAACTACCAATTATATGTAATGTCAGCCTTTGGCATATTGTTGCATATTATGAAGCTTCATGAGGGTTAGGAGTAGAAGGATGTAGATCATTCGTGAGATAGAGTTCGTTTTGGGATTACCTTTGGGTGTTGTTTGGTGAGGGTTTAGAAATAGTTCTTGGCAGGGTACCTTTTGTGGTTAGTAAGTTGTCGTATTGTAGATCTCATCTTGATTTCTTTATGTAAAACTTTTATGTTTTAAATGCATTTGTAGTTGTAGATGAGCATAATTAGTCCAGTGACAACTTGTCGCTGTATTGTACTCATCTTTTTCTGCTAATGAAAGTATGGTTTTCATAAAAATAAGAAATAAAAAACATTAAAAAAAAAAAAAAACTATAGGGATTGAGATCTATAACATAAGAACTTCTGTCATGAGCTCTTTCAATATTTTCATCGAGACAATGGTTCAGGAAGGAAAAGCTACACTTGTTATTTTTCTTCTCTTTTGCAAAAGAAGAAAAATGTCTTGTTTGTAATGGAAGCTAAAAATTATGTCATGAGTACGTCTTTGTTTGGTTGTTTGTTTCTCTTTGGTTTTTTGGTAAATCCATGTAGCACAAGACAGCAACTTCATAAAGAATGTAAACAGGATTGGGATGGCATTTCAGAGAGGATAAGCTAGGAAGTTCTAAATTTATGAGGCTGGTTTACCATCTTCCAATTAAGAATGAAAAGGGCTCAGATGGTGATTGTAGGTCTCCAATTTCATTTGAGAAGTTGGTCCAGTTTCAAGTGTTAATTGCAGCCATTCATCATCAGGTTACCTTAAAATGGCACCAAGAGCTAGGGTACATTTTAGTTGGCAGTAGACTATTTGGTTCAGGAGTTTAGCTTCGTTAACCCTGGCTGTTTTAACACAATTCCCTCCTTCAATTGGTCCAGTAATCATGTTGAAATTAGTTATTGATCACCTGAATAAGTCAGAATGGTACCAAGGCTTTGGGCAGTTCTGTATGTTAAAGTGCTTTGGAAATTATGGGCTTTATCCTTTAGACATGGCTACCACTCTTAATCATATATTTCATATGCATATTATTGTACCTTTACTTTTGTTGTCTGATGTTTAAAGTTACATGTTCTAGTAAGTGCCTCTCTGCTTCTACTATTGGAAGTTGTTTTAATTGCACATGCGTTTAACCTCCCTTTTCCACTCCTGTCGTTTTTTGCCCTATCTTATGAAAATAATTATGAAATTTCGTTTGGTTTTTTTCTTCTTTCAGAGTATATGCCTGGTGGAAGTCTATACGATTATTTGCATAAGAATCATAACATCTTGAAGCTTTCAGAACTGCTAAAGTTTGCGATTGATATCTGTAAAGGAATGGAGTATTTGCATCAGAATAACATAATTCATAGGGATCTGAAGACAGCAAATCTGCTAATGGACACTAACAATGTAAGAATTAAAGGTTATTGTTCGCTTGTTTGGCAGCTTCACTTTGTGCATAAATGCAACCTAGGTTTGGGAAGAATAACAGCATATTCATGATAACTGGATTGATTTAATTTGTGATTGTACATGTATAGCTTAACTTAGGCGACGGGAAAACAGTAAAGTTCAACAGATTTGTTTGTAATTTTTTAAAAAGGGCCATAATGTCTTTAGTGGATTTATTGCTACTTTAGTTGATATAAGTTGTGGTTATTGGACCGACTTGAGTAACCAAACCATGAATTGTTTATATGAGGTAATTGTTTGATTGGGTTGATTTGGGATCAACAACCCTGCATGTTATTGGACCGACTTGAGTAACCAAACCATGAATTGTTTATATGAGGTAATTGTTTGATTGGGTTGATTTGGGATCAACAACCCTGCATGCATTGTGCTTTGAGATATGAAGTTTGATTGTTTGAAGAAGTATATCTGTGTTTCAAATATTCAATTCTACCAAAATTCTCTTGGACACACTGAGTTGATGTCTTCCAAATTTTTGTCAATGGTGAAACTGATACTTTCAGGATGACATGAATGATGCAATATATTGATATGTGTTTAAAGATGCAAGTAATGCAATTCTACTTTCCACAAGTTTATTGATATTTTCTAAAAACTATAAGTAGAGTTTGTTGTTAAACTTGGCATGTTTTTGTTTTTGATAATGGGTAAACTGTTTACGAGTTAGTTTTCCATGTAATAATGGTTGAAATCTCTGCGCTCATATCCTGGCAGTTCTATTTTTTTGTTTAGAAAAACAAATAAGTTTCTGTTCCTTTAACAGTTGAAATCATTTTCTTATTTGTCTTTAGGTTGTAAAGGTGGCAGATTTTGGTGTTGCTCGGTTCCAGAATCAAGAGGGTGTAATGACAGCAGAGACTGGAACCTATAGATGGATGGCACCTGAGGTCTGATTCTTCTGGTTTAATATGTTCCTTTCTATTTGTTTTTTTTCTTTCCAATTTTATTCCATAGGAGATCAGGAATTTTATGTAAGTTCTTGAAAGGCTTCTTGAAAATTATTGTTGACTCTTAAATCGTTGGACTTGGTTTGGAAACTGTCCTTTGTCGTGATCTAAGGATTGATTAGTTTATCATTAACAATTACCAGCTACCACCCATACAATATCCCCTTTGTTTTGGCAAGCAGGCTATGGTTTATTGAATTTCCTATTTTGTTAATCACATTTCAGATGTTAACATTCTGGTTCGACAACATTAGTTTACAGTGTTATTTCAATATCTTACTGGTTTCTTGTATTTTGTAAGGTTATCAACCATCAACCGTATGATCAGAAAGCAGATGTGTTCAGTTTTGCAATTGTACTTTGGGAGCTAGTAACAGCCAAAGTATGCTTCCTCTCGTGTGATACACATTATCAAACTTTTAAAAATCTTTTTTTTAACTAGTATGATTTTGTATTGCAGGTTCCATATGATACCTTGACTCCGTTACAAGCTGCCTTGGGAGTTAGACAGGTTTACGGTTGATTCATATCTGTTTATAAATAATTTATAATATTATATATATGTGTGTGTGTGTGTGTGTGTGTGTTTATATTTTTTTCGGGGTGTGTATTGGATTCATGCAGACATGTTTGCTACAGCCCACATTGTATTTGCTTCTTAAGAAGTCCTGTTAATCCATACACTTCATGTTTATTCTGTCGCCATGTGTATTTGTGCCAAATAGTTATGTATTGTTTGACATTCCATTTCCCAGGGGCTGAGACCGGAAATTCCCAGTAATGGACACCCTAAGCTTTTGGAATTAATGCAGAGATGTTGGGATTCATTTCCTTCCAATCGGCCTTCCTTCTCCGATATAACAGCTCAACTTGAATCTCTCCTCCAAGAAGTCCAGGTAGGACACCCTCCCGTCTTTCTTGATGTTTGGTTCTCCCGTGTTCTCTGAGCCTCACACTGAAATAAAATGCTTGAAATCTCAGGAAATTTCGGAACCTTCCAATGGCACTTGAGAGTCATGACACGACTCGGAAAATTTCTGTAGTCCCCGAAACTTATCTTTTTGCAACATTCTGACCAGCTCATTTTAGGCATTTGGGATATGGATGAGGCTTTGGTTTTTTCGTTTGTTTCTCACATGAATATAGAGGTTACATTGTACACTTGAGGAAAAGAGAAAATTACAGAGATTGCCCAACACTGTGTCAATAGTGCGTGATGATCTGATTTCCTATGTGTTGTAAAACTCATCTGTAAGTAAAACTCCCAGTTAAACGTCATTGTAAAGTGTTTGTCTTTTTGAGTAATGAGATGTCGACGCCTCGCTAGATATTTCCTATACGCTTTAATGTATAGCGATGGTTATGTCGGATGAAGAGCTTGGTGTAGATACGATCACAAAACGCAGTGTATCTTACACTCAAGGGGGTCGAGGGGTACATTCTGTTGGCATGAACGAGTTTAGAAAGGTAGTGCAGACTTACGGTTTTCATCTCGGAATCGTTTTGTTACGGAGTGGAACATTTGGAAGCTCAGAAAATATGACAGATTTAGGGCTTTCTTTTCTTAAATGTTCTGCCGATCTCGACTTGAAGTGCTTGTAGGCCAGTCCCGATTTCTCAGTTTCTTTTTAATCGCGAGTATGTTGTAACTGATTTTTTTCCTGTTTCTCGGAATGTAAATCGGGTGATGAGAAATATTGTGTTCGCATGGCAGACTTCTTGTGAAATCTTATCGTGCTCATTTTCTTCTCGTGCACACCTTTGTTTATTTATAGTTTGAATTGAAGAAATCAAAAAGAATGTAAGAGCATCATTGAGTAGTAACTACCTGATGAGAACTCTTGGTCGGCTTGCTAATAGAAGATAGAGTGTGAATGAGCTTAGCCACGCCAAATACCAGGTGCTTGGTTCAAATGATACTGTTCGTACTCGAGCATGGTTTGATACTGCCAAATGATTGCATGTTCATTCTAAATTGATACGAGTTGCGTACTAAACTTGTATCTCAGCTCATTTTTCTAAATATTTTGTTCGACCTCAGCTCTTTATACTTACAAGTCGAGATTAAACACTCCCAAAACAAGCCAAACATGAATAACAAGCCAACAAAAAGTCTTAATCACATTCAGGGCTAGTTTGGTATTGTTGTGCTTTTAAAAAAACTGTTTCTGATGTGCTATGAGAATAAACATCTATAAAATGAACGGTAAAGTATTTGTGAACTCTAGATGTAAAAGTGTTTTTAGCAAAAAAAAAAAGAGCGCGGGTTTTGGTAAACTTTTATGAAAAATCACTGTGACAGTATAAAATGAATAAAATGTATATGGTGGGGATGTGATGTTATCATATTCATCTTTAATTTAATTTAATTTTTCATAATCCTCAATTTTCTTTTTTCTTTGTAACCTCCGTCTTGCTTCTCTCCCAGGCTCCAGCAATCCATGGCTTCACCCACACTTCCAAAAAATAAAAGATCAAAAAAAAAAAAAAAAAAAAAAAAACAGAAGCTAGAGAAAGTGAAGCCAAGGACGGCATCCTTCCGAGGTCGATAAGATTTGCGGGTTTGTATTCTCTTACAATTTGATTGAATTTCAGTCTCTTTCAATTTTGATTGAATTTGGTGTCCACTAATTTCTCGACTGGGAGAGATCGAGTTGGGAGCCTCGGAGACGAGGAAATACGTTTGATGCGCAGACAGGGGGGGTGGCGAGGGAGGATAGGATTGCCGTATTAAAAATTTCATTAATGACTACTATTCACTCGTGTTTTGGTAAAAATAAAAAATAAAAAAACTGGTTTTTCGCTTTTTTTTTTTTGCTTTGAATGGCTGTGATTTTGGAAAAAAACAAAGAAGCTAGGTTTGCTTGAGTTACCAAACATAAATTGGATGCGATGATCACCAGATTTTGGTTGGGCCAAAAGGGCAGGGAGAGACGTATTCATTGGGTATCAAAAGAGCCTTTGGGTCTGCCGAAGTCGGAAGGGGGAATGGGCTTTCGGAATTTTGTGGATTTTAATGATGTCCTACTTGCTAAACAATGTTGGAGATTGATTCAGGACCCAAACTCATTGTGGGCTAGGGTTTTGAAGGCCCGGTACTTTCCTTACTGCTCCTTTTTGGACCCTCCGCGAGGGGTAGGTTCGTTTCTCTCAATTTAGTAATATTTCTCCACTGCCTTAGTTTAGATAATATTGTTCGTTCAAGAAAAATGTAACCTGACTTAAATGTTAAACCCTAACTATTGTTGTCCCACCACTTCTATGCAATTGCAGATTTGCAAATGGAACTCTTCTCTTTCTCTCATCCTCCCTCTTCTCATCAGATCTTCCATTGTCTATGAGAGATGCAACGGCGACGAAAGACAAGAGAAAGTCAGTATACCAAAAAAAAAAAAAAAAAACCTTCCTAGATCACCGCCTAGACAGGCGTGTAACTCTTATCTGATTTTGTTGGATGATTTGGCCTAAATCGCGGCAGAACACCATTGCCTAGGCCCATTTTTTAGAGCAGTACTCAAGAGTACGGGTCTTCCGAGTATCCAAGAAGGTCCCCTGTGAATTGCAACCACTCGGTGAACTATGTTTGTTTGAAAGAAAATTTACACACCGTCTTTACCTCCCACACATCTCTATCTTTTCTTTTTCTTATAATTAGATTGAACAAATAAAAAATGAATCTAGGACTAAACTTAAAAAGGGTGTGCAGAAATAGAAAAGGAGTTTCGAAAAATCACTTCAAATTTCCTTTTAAGTCATGCATCTTATCTCTATACTCCAAGTTGCTAATTATGCCTGGTTATAACTTTCTTTGTAATGATATTATGGTTAACGTAAGGATAAAGAATTAGTATTGCACTCCTAGGTTTAAAAGAATCAAAATTCTATTTGAACTACATTATTGCTAACCCATTGTGAGGCTAATCTTACCCCATCCCCTTAGAGTAGATAATATCGTTTGTTAAAAAAAAAAAAATTCTAGTAGTGAAACCTATGTGTTTTGCACAAGCAATATATATATATATTTTTTTAATAAACGATATTATCTATAAGAAGTTAGTGGGGGGTGGGTCAAGTCTCACAATGAACTAGTAATAATGTGGTTAAAATTTATCTTTGACAAGAATTGAACATAAGACATCTCACTTAAAAGGGAAGAAGAATACCACTATACTGTAATATTAAGTGGCTGTACAAGCAATAGTTAAAGAGGGAATATTGATCACAACTCCTCGAACAAATTAATAGTCTTAACCATTTGAATTACAAACTCATTATAGTATTACGTGTGGTTAGTTTAATTATCGCACACGTATTAATCATAGATATTTACATCTCATGATTCCTGTTTGGATTAAAACTTGAACTTTGGGCTCAAGAAAGGAGTTGGCCCAAAAGGAGGCCCGAAAGGGAAGATAGCCGAAGCCCAGTCGAAGCCCAGAAGGCAGGGAAATGCCTTTTCTGACCTGGTACAACTCATGAAGACCACTTGCTTACCTACCCAAAGGCCAAGTGGTGCAGACTGATCAGTTACACAGCCCATAAAGCACTTTATGGTGGCATTACATGTAAAATAGCTGATGAGTCATCACCCTCAAACTGCATTCGGGCAAAGCTGCTGCTACAGAAGCCCAAGCCGAGTTGTCTATATAAGAAGAAAGAAAATCCAGGAATAAGGACACTCAATCAAACAAACAAATGCAAGCACAAACTCTGCTCAAAGCCAGATTTGCCTTCAAAACAAAGCTGTAGTCAGCCTTCATCCCTTTCGGGACAAACCTTCATCCCTCTCGGGATAACCCTATCTTCAACCCTTTGTAATAGCTCTGCTACCTTGTTCAACCTTGCTGTAGTATCGATTCATCTTTTGTAATCTCTCTCTCTCTACCCCTCTAAGCTTTCAGACCTTTGACAAAACTACAAAGATAGGAACCTGCAAGACGAGCAACCTTACCCGATAAGGTTTAACCTTGCCCGACCTTCTTTGCTTTAGTTTTGTCTTTTCAATATGTTGTATACTTCCAGTTATATGCAAGTTATTTCTAGCAACATGACTATTAAAAGGCTTTCTCAGTGCTTGAATCCGATTTGAATATATCGTCAGTGTTCAACCAGATCCAAGTCCTAAGCCCTCGGGCATGTAAATCTGATCAGTTAAAAGTCATTGGCCTCAAGGCATAAAAAAGAACCTTATGTGGACTTAACCCATCCACGACAGTCCTTGATAAACGAGAAGTCCGAAGTTACTTGGGGCGCAAGTAATCAACCTACCTTCTAGTTTTCTTTCTATTATATCATGATTACCATAGAACGCTTGAGCATGGAATGGATTCTAATGGAAAGCCTCAAGGCCTACACCTAAGGCCCCACAAAGGCATCCATTTGGATTCATTCCGTTCAGCGATCTAAAGAGTCTAAGTATAAGAATGAACTCTGATGGGAAGCCTAAAGGCCTACACCTAAGGCCCCACAAAGGCATCTATTTGGGTTCATTCTACTTCTTGGATTCGGGTAATCAGAAGTATAATAGTTAGAAAACTCCTACAATCACGAGAACAAATATGATGTGTTCGAGCACTGGTTTAGTTATTTATGGGAAGCCTCAAGGCCTACACCTAAGGCCCCACAAAGGCACCTGTTATAACTAACACGGTTTCTTGGATACATATATATATACAACTAAAGCACGACAACTATTTTACATCTGCCATGCTAAAGATGGCAGTGGCACGCCTGAGCACTTAAATGTTAACCTTGATTGTGAGCCTCAAGGCCTACACCTAAGGCCCCACAAAGGCACCTCTCAAAGTTAATGCTGTCCTTCTCTTTCAGCCTTGCCCGAAGAGTCTTGCCCGAAGAGTCTTGCTCGACGAGACTTGCCCGACGAGACTTGCCCGACAACGCCCGATAGTGAAGCAGAAGCCCGACAGCAGCCCTCAACTGGCACCAACCTCCAGGGGAGCTGTGTGCTCGTCGGCCAGGAAACATCCCCGACGGAAATTCCTGCCACGAACAATTCCATTAAATGATAAACCTTTGACTTTGTAACTAGCTAGTAAATAGATTAAACATCCGATTGTAGGTGGATAACGATTATTTTTTCTCCATTTTCACATGAGTGACAACACCAACATTTATTAAAATGGATTAGTTAAGTATAATTTGTTTAATTCGTTATCGTAGGCTCCCTATTTCATGTCTTCTTCCTTGTTGTCCAGATGTTGTGTTTGTTTCTACGGCAATTTCAACCATTGACTTGTATAAACTTGAAAATTTTAACATAAAAATTGAAAATATAAACGTCCCTCCATTCCATTTTCCACGTGAGGTGACGAGAACATCGGCGCAAATTGTTGGTTGCCGACACTTTATTACAATCCCTCGCAATTTACAGCAACCAAAACAAGGACCACCAAAAAGATAAAATGTATAGAGCAAAGAATTATGGGGTCGACAAATTAAAATGATGAAAATATTTTTACTACAATCTCTCGCCTTTTAATGCAATATGGTTTGCATTTTTAATTATTAATTTGTTCAAAAGCAAAACTAAAAGCAAAACTAAAGTTATTAGAGAGATATGAGAAAGGTGTGTCGGGACAGTCAAATTACATGTACACTTTGAACGCTCTTACAAAGTAGTTGAATCTCTCAATTAAATAATTTCGATGAATTAATTGGATGAAACAATTTAACCAAATTTTGAAAAACAATTCATAGAACTGTTGATCATGGTTGGTTTAA